CCTGTACAGCCTATAGCCCTTGACATTCACCGCCCATGTCACTGGATTCCTACGTCCCTGCTGAATCAGAACTATTTCACAGGTCAAGCGAGCCATCTATATAAAAACCCAAGTTCCTTCTCCTTAAGTCTGCCAGGTGTCCTATAGTTTTCTGGCTTGTGCCCTCAAACTGATATGCAACTGTCAGGCTATAAGCTGTAAGTCAAGGCATAAACAGCACGGCAGTAAAGCGTGGAGCTCCCGCAGACACCACCAGCATTGTCAGGAGGAGGGGGTGTTGAGCACTGACCAGGGCTCAGTGACCACCCACAGGCACCATCGGTAGCTGCGGCAGTGGCCAGCGGCGATCATGGACCACGAGGTGTTGGCAGCAGGATGGCAAGTGGCAACTGCCTGCAGGCATCGCTGGCAGTGTCGGTAGTGCCTTTTTGCAGGGGGTGGACTGCCATGCTCAGGGGGTGCATGTGCATTAGGGGGTTCCCCTGCATCAAGGTCAAGATTTTCAAATTAAGTATCTAAAGCTAAGCTCCTAAGGCCTCATTTTAGTGCTTACTAACCTCAGGGTGTATAGGTTGTAGCCATGTTGGTCTAAGGATATAGGCAGATAAATCTGTTATCTTTTATTAGACCAACTCAAACAGTTGGAAAAATCTTCCTTGCAGGAAGAAAGGTGTTTGTAACCCGAAAACTTGCAAAGAATTTTTTCCAACTATTTGAGTTGGTCTAATAAAAGGTATCGGATCTCCCAGCACTCGTTCCTACCCAGGGCAGGGGTTGGACTTGATGATCTGTTCAGGTCCCTTCCGACCCTAGAAACTATGAAACCTCGACTGCGCAATAATTGACCTGACCTTCAAAAACTGATGAGGCCCAGCAGCACTTTTGGACATGTACTTATTAAATAGTTAACCATGCAACACGCAACATTTCACGGCCCCGTGCTCCTGGGCTGGGGGCTGCACTGCAAACGCTGGAGGTGATACTCACACTGTGACTGGTTCGTGCTCGTCTAGCAACTTCAGCGCTACAAGTCGCCTCATGTGGAACCCCTAGGTTCGCTTAAAAGAAAAAAAGTAGTGGAAACGACTGGAACACAAACTGAAGAGGCCCCAACCCGGTATTTTCAGGCCCCGCCACCGCCAGCACGTGCTGAACAAGCCGAGAGGGAATAGGAGGGGGGGAGGGGCGGGCTGGAGCCACAGGCAGGAGCGAGGCTGCGCGCTCCCTGCCCCCACCGTTGCCGTAACACAAAATGGCCGCCCCTGCGTGCACCCAAGATGGCGCCGCCTAGTGCGGAGGGCGTACGGAACAGCGCAAGGACCGACGCTATCCCGCCTCCAGGAGGGGCCGGCCCAACCCGGCCCGGCCCCCAACGACACGCCTGCGTTCGGGCCTGGCCCGGGCGTCCCAACCCCGCCCGCTCGCCCCACAGACTTGAAGATCCACTTCCAGCCCCGCCTGGTGGCAATGAAAGCAACCCGCTTCTGCCGGAAGTGACGTATAGACGGTGACAAGACTACAACTCCCGGTGAGCCCCACGCCTCGGACTCCCATTGGCCGGGGCAAGCCGGACGTGATCCTGCTGCGGGAGGTCGGAGGTGACAGGTGGTGGTAGGAGAGGGGCGAAGCAGGTTCTCGGTGAAGTTGGGGCTGGGGTCCCTGGGGCGGCCTCTGAGCACGGCCCCCTCGGGCTAGGCCTTGGGCTGCGGCGCCGCGGGCAGAGTCCGGGCGCTGCCGGAGGGCCCCGGGCCGGTGCGGGGCGTCCGGGGGGGTGGCATCGGGACTGCAGCTGGGGGGAGGCGGGCGCCGGTTCCTTGCTCCGGGAGCCCCGCGCCCCCTTCCCGCCCGGGAGAGCAGGGGCACAACTCCCCGCCGTCGCCCCCGCTGCTGCGGACGGCGGGGGCGCCTCGCCATGGCGGCGCAGGCTCCCCAGGGCAAGGCAGTGGGCGGGGAGCCCTGAGGCCACAGCAGGCCGCCGCATCTGCACCCTCGTGCACAAACCGGGGGGGACGTGTCCCCCATGACCCCGGCGGGTATACACAGCAGCGGGACCCCTCCAGCCCCCGGCCCATGCCTGTGACCTGCCCGTGGGACAATCCTGCTTCACACCCCAGCCCCATGCACCACCCTGGTGGGGCAGTGCCCCCAGTCCCTGTCCTGCTCCTTTCCTCACCAGGAGGACCGTGATCTTCCCCTTATGCCCCTTCTCCTCTGTAGACTTACCTGCAGGGAGCTTGCTCTCCACCCCGCCTGTCTCTATTCCTGGGCACGTGTATGGGTGCACACATGCATGTGGACCCCCCTGTATCCCACTCCTAGCAGCCCTTGCAGGCTGGATCACTGCCAGCCTGCAAGGGGAAACCAGGCATTTCCTGCAGATCCCTGCACAACTCTGAGAATCCAGGACAAATGGTGTCCCGGGGTCATGCAGCCTGGAACTAGGGCTGAAAGTTCCCATTCTGGGACTGTCCTGCTCAGTTATGGATGGGTGGTCACCCTGGGGCAGGGGTGGGCAAAGTGGTGGCTCTGGCTAGTGGCCGGAGTCCATTTCCTAGCAGCCCCTGCCCACACAGCTGGGGCCAGTTTCCATGGAGACCTCAGCAGCAGCCCTGCTGTGATAGCATGAGGCCAGGGTTTCCGTGGAGACCAGCCCTAATAGCACTGGCAGGGTGCGCGGCAGAGTGCAAAGCTGCGAGCCTGGCTGGGATCTTGGGGCAACAGTGGTCCAGAGCTGAGGCAGAGCTACAACCTGCAGTCTCCATGCTCTGGGTAGGAATTTGCAAGCAGCGGATCACAGCTCTGCCTTGGCTCTGGACCACGCTGCCACTGCTGCAAGATCCCAGCCGGGCTTCAGAGCAGCTTTGCACATTGCTGTGCACCCTGCCAGCCGAGATGGCACTTAAGGGGGCTGTAGCCACCTCAAAATTCCTTGCAGCCCGCCATAGATGCCCCTCTCAGTGGCACCGCTGCCCCTGCCTGCCCCACTTCTGCCTGCCCCATTCCTGCCTGCAGCACAGTTCTCCCTCAACCTCCCCACCAGGAAGAGGCTGACACCAGTGCTGCCTGCCAACATGCTGGGGCCAGTCTCCATGGAAACTGACCCAAGCCATGTAGACAGAGGCTGCTGAGAAATGGAGTCCGCTGCTGGCTGCATCCGACCTGTGGGCTGGGCTTTTAGCCCAGGGGGGAGCGTGGTATGTGGCATCTGGGACCACCATTCTCACATGCACATGTTCATGGGGCCCAGTTGGACAAATCGCTTTAGCAGCCAGATATTCATTTCCCCATGGATCAAAGTAGGTAACACTCTACTGTAGCTGACCAGTGTCACGAGGATAAACTAGTCTCTACCAAGTACTTTGAAATCCTGCAGATGGTAGTTCTGTCTCCTGGGCACCCTGTGGATCATTGTTCCTCTCTCGTTTGCAGTGGCCGGGGCTCTGAAAGGATTCAGAAATGGAAGGGTCTGAAGATTCCAGGCCCCCAGAGGAAACGCTCCATCACTTGAAGCTTTCTGATCACAACAGCGATTCCGTGACAGCTGGCTCCAAAGATGGATGCCTTGCAAGGAGTCAGGAGAGGGGAGATATGCAGTCTGCTACCCAGGAAACTGGAGCAACAGATGAGTGCTTTCATGACTGTCCTGAATCCTTTGAGGGCAAGGTGCCCAGAGTAGATGAAGAAGAGAAGATAATGAACAATGAAGATTCCTCGGAGAAACGGACCGAATTAGATGAAGAATACTTACTAGAACTGGAAAAAGACATGCCTGAGGAGGAAAAACAGGTAACCTATTAAATCAAAATTGCAAATGAATGCCAGATGCTTACATATTTTTAATACTTTATTAAAAAATTTAGTGATGTAAAATGCGACGTACAGATGAAATTTACAGATCTTACATTTAACTCCAATACATAGCTACATAGGTAGCATCTAGTTAAAATGCATTTTTTTTAAGTGATAGTAGCACGGAGATGCTATCAGCCAAACTATTACTCCATGCATTTTTCTGGTGTGATCAGAGGTTGGATTGTACAGTGGTTAATGTATCTAACTATGCATCTAAAAAGTATGAATTTGAACCTTTCTCCCTGGATGTATAATAAAGGTACCCCTTAGTCCACCTAGCTAAAACATTTGAGTTGGGAAGTAAAAAGTGGCTCAACATGGTGATACCACACAGTTTCTTTGCATGCCTTTAGCTACAGAACTTGTACTCCTTAACCATGCTAGACTGATGGGTTACTTAGTTTCCTGACAGAATAGAACAGTGATGCTCGACCTTTTTCAGTAGGCCAGATGGGCAGTCCGTGATTCCTTTCGTGGGCTGGATCTGGCTGGTGGACACAATCCTTCACCTGGGGCTCCCTCCAGCCATGCAGAAGGCGGTGGGGGCAGCCCGGCCCTGATCCAGTGGGGAGAAGGGGCTTGATCCAGCCCTAGCCTGGCTCTTCGCGGGAAAAGGGGCATGACCTGGCTACAGTCCAGTCTCACAGGGAGAGGGGTATGGCCAGGCCTCAACCCGGCTGGGCAGGCATGAGGGGGCATGGCCTAACCTTGTGCAGGCAAGACAGGGGCATTGCCTGTCCCCAGCCTGGCTGGGCAGTGGGGAGCAGGCTTGGCATGACACAGCTGTGGTAAACCATCTGCACAGGAGGAGGGGGTGTGGGCAGGTACTACCAGAAGGGGCCACAGCCTGCCCCCAACCCAGCTGAGTGGAGGGAAGAGGGTGTGGCTCAGGCCTGATCTGGCTGTGTTGGGGGAGGTTGGGGCCTGGCTCATACCTTCTAGGGTTGGAAGGGACCTGAACAGATCATCAAGTCCGACCCCCTGCCCTGGGTAGGAACAAGTGCTGGGATCGCAATATCCCAGCCAGATACCTATCCAACCTCCTCTTGAAGACCCCCAGGATAGGGGAGAGCACCACCTCCCTTGGGAGCCCATTCCAGAGCCTGGCAGCCCTAACCGTAAAGTAATGCCTACTGATATCAAGCCTGAACCTACTGTCAATCAATTTGTGGCTGTTATGTCTCGTTATCCCAGGTGGTGCTCGGGGGAAAAGAGCCTCACCTATTTTCTGCTGATCCCGCTAGTGAGTTTATAGACAGCCACCAGATCCCCTGTCAGTCTTCTCTTGTGGAGGATGAATAGATTGAGGCCCTTTAGTCGATCTACATAGGGCCTGCCCTGCTGCCCCATGGCCATGCAAGTGGCCCTCCTGTGGACCCTCTCAAGGTTAGCCACATCCCTCTTGAAGTGCGGCACCCAGAACTGGAAGCAGTAGTCCAACTGCAGCCTGACCAGTGCTGCATAGAGGGGAAGGATCACCTCCCTGGACCTGCATGTGATGCATCTGTAGATGCACGACAAGGTGCGGTTAGCCTTACTGACCGCTTCCTCGCATTGGTGGCTCATGTCCATCCTGAAGTCAACAATGACTGTAAGATCCCTTTCAGCCACTGTGTTGTTGAGAAGGGTGTTCCCCAGCCTATAGGTGTGTTGCTGGTTCCTTCTCCCTAGATGCAGCACCTTGCACTTGTCTGCGTTGAATTCCATTCTATTCTCATCTGCCCACCTCTCTAACCTGTCTAGATTTAGTTGGATTCTGTCCCTCCCCTCCAGTGTGCCTGATTCTCCCCACATCTTTGTGTCATCAGCGAATTTGGACAGCATGCTTTCCACGCACACTTCCAAGTTGCTGATAAAGATATTGAATAGCACAGGCCCGAGGACTGAGCCCTAGGGAATTCCACTACCCACATCCCTCCAGGTCGAAAACAACCGGTCCAGCACCACTCTCTGGGTGTGACCATCAAGCCAATTTGCCACCCGTCTGACTGTGTAGGCACTAATGTCACAGTTGCCTAGTTGTTTTATGAGTTTGGGGTGATAAACAGTGTCAAAGGCCTTTTTGAAGTGCAGGTAGACAGCATTCACCTCAGTGCCTGCATCCAAGGACTTGGTGACCTGGTTGTAAAAGGAAACAAGGTTGGGCAGGCACCATGAGCACTCATAGAG